AGGAGATTTTGTGAGGACGTCTTTCTGAGAAAACCCTGAAATAATCCTTTGTTATCCGTAGCTTTGTTGGTTTAAACTTTTCCCTGAAAAAGGTAAAGAGTTAGTCATATGCAATGTCGTGATGTATGAAATGCATTGTGATGATGTTCTCAAACTAAATGAGATTGTGTTATGTGACATGTATGCACATGCCATGATGTATGAATATGGGATGTCATTGTGATATTCCTTAGTCGTGGAAAATAGATATCAGACTGCTGCTGAAGAGTATTAGGAAGTTGAATTCTTCGTTTCCGCTGGGGATGGTGAATGAAGATGACTATACTGGTGACTTACTCCTTTCTGTTTGAGAATATTTTGCCGGGAGAGACTCTATTTGAGAATAACTCTGTAGGGGAATGATTCTGTGGAGAACATAGATAACCTGTCAGAAGATTTACTAATACAGAGAAGTAAACTCAGTTGGGGGATGAACTTCCGTTTCTGGAGAAATAAACTCTCTTGGGGATTGAACTTCCATCGTCAGAGAAATAAACCCTGCTCAGGAGAAGGCTTTATAAACTGTTTGTGATTATAAAACTCGGATGGGGAATACAGGTGTCAGCTCTCTGAAGGAACCCGTTGGGGAAAGTAATTCCTGCCTGGGGAAGCGGAGATCAGGATTCTGGTTGCCTCTACTCTATGGGGACTATAGATGTCACAGGCTCGTATGTGACAGTGACTTTGCTTCAAAATGTCTCTGCCCCGGTTCCATGTTGGTTGGAGTAACTGTTGAGATTGCAAATTGTTTTTTAGATTTTGTACCAATTTCTTTAAGTTCTTTAGCAATTGTCTTTCTGTTTTATATGCAGGTGTTTGTCAATAGCAATCGTATTCAAATGCATATGTCAAAAATAAAACATTGGACGTTTTTGCAAAACAAAACAGAAAAAGGGAAAAAAAACAAAAGTTTTGTATTTTTCAAAGAATGATTTGTATTGGTTTTGATGTTTGCCTATAACAGGCGTTTTTATACAAGGAGGCTGACGCTCTAGTAAGAGAACTCCGCCGTGAAAATGAAAATTATACCAAATTGTGTATAAAGAGAAAACAGCTATGTGTAATGATCCCATTGAGTTTCAATTCTGCTATTTCCCCTATATCCTTGAGCATCTCATCACTTTGTTGCTTGTTTGAAGCTGACTGGACTGATCGGTACCGTTCGAACTTGGTGAAACAACTGGCTGAAAATCATCAAAAAATGAAGTCGCCATCGAATGTCTTTTATCCCGTATGGAGGGAAAGGTAACCATCGCGAAAACCTGAGAAGATAGAAGTCATGGTCTTGCAACCGAGAGATCGGGTAAGGGAGTCTGTTACGCGAGGGGAAGGTATTAGCACCCCATACGCCCGTAGTACTCTACGGTGTCCACTCTTGCTATCTATCTTATGGGTGTGTTTAATCTATGCTTACTGTTTATTACTACTAAAGGGAGAATGCATGCAAAAGATATGAGAAAATAATGTAGGGAAAAGAAAAGTTGTGCTCGTTCGGCCCCTACCCCGATGCCCAAGTATCCCTTTTAAGGAATCAGAGCAACCGTAGTTCGGCTTCAAATGTTTTTGTTGGTTTGTATTTTTTAATGAACAATATTAATTTCACCTTCTGCCGCAACTCGACCTTTGGAGACTTACGTGTCAGCAAAGAAGTGAATTAACATGCTCTTTTGAAAGGAGTTTGAAAGAAAAGCCCAAAGGCAAAAAGAGTTTGTATTGGTTGGTATTTTTGCTTGCAGATAACAGCTAGTTAATCTCAAGAGAGAGATATTAGTCATTTCTCTACTTATTCATGAAATAAGTCTTTGAAACTTGAACCATATTAAAGCTTAGAATATAGAACAATAAGACCGAGAAGAAACTCGCTTATCGTCTCTCATACTTAACAAACATATGATTCTCATCGGTAATTTTTAAGTGTTTTGGAATTTGTAAGAAAAAGAAGTTTTTGTTTTAACTGCATATGCAAAAGGGGAAAGAAAGAGTCTAAGGAAGACTAGCTTATTTCTAAACCTAACGTTATCATACAATGTTAGCCCTAAGTCAAGGATGAATAAAAGGGAAACATCTACCTAATGTTAGCATGCATGGTTTACAACCTAAGGTCTAACCTGCGTCTGAATGGAGAAAGCGCATCCTAAGGGAACATGGTATGTATAAGGATAAAGCAAGCAAGCTTATAAACTCAAGAGAGCACACCGAGAGAGATCCTATCTAAGTTAGCATACCAAATAAATTCTAACAAAACTAACCTATAGGGAACATGATATGAGAGCGAAGTCGTGATCTCAATTCCTAAATTGAGTGACTCATCGATCAACAAGAAATAAAGGAAAGCGATAAAGTCCTATAGGGAGCATGCACTAAGAGCGAAGTCGTGATCTCAATTTCTAAATTGAGTGACTCATCGATATACAACCAAGGAAACAAACACAAGCACGACACTATAGAAAATGAAGTGCGGAATGCCTGCTACAGGTCTTTAAACAACGACTTCGAGTGAAGACTCTTTATTTCCTACTTCTCATGATATCTAGAAAGCAATAAAATGCTGAAATGAGATAAACAAGGGAAAATACCAAACGGATATCAATCCGTAGCAAAGCGCGTCAAAACAAAAAAACCCAATGATCTTCCCGAAAAGCTTCACTAATCAAAGAAAAGAGTCAGAAACCGAATGCTCAGAATAACTGTCGAAGCATCATCGATGCGAAAATAAATCACAATTGAAATCTCAAGCGCATCCACATATCGTACAATAAACTTGCATATGATTCCATATCTCAACAAGCAAAGGTGAATCACGAACTCGAATAATCGGAATTTATTTTCCTAAAGTCAAAGTAATAATAAAAAAAAAACTAACAAATTTTTATTGATTTTATTATTTTTTATCATGTAAAGAAAAGGTCCAAGCAAATCTAATCAATCCACAAAATTATTTAAAAGAAAATACTGAAAGAATAAATCCAGGGGGTGTAAAGGCAGACTATGGGGTAAGGACTCAGCAACCATGCTTGGCCCAACATTCCAAAAATGCACCAAGCCCATTCATGAGTCCAGACGGATTTTTTTTGTAGTTATTCTAGGATGTCCCAAAAATGGGCTTACAAAAATGATGGTAAACAACAGGCTTGGAAGAGGAACCGGTCCACTTAAATTCATTGTTTCTCTTTCTTTAACCAGTAACTCATTATTGTATAGTCAGTAGCAAAAGAAACGACAAAAAAATGAATAAAGAGAGTGAGGTGATACACTGTGTTTTGGCCTCAAGAGTGTTGTGGCTTTTCATCTTCCCTTCAAACCTGCGTTCTTTCCCTCTTCTATCACGTTCACACACTCAAGCTCCCAATTCCAAACCCCAGCCGCCGCTGCACCAAGGGCGGTCGGCGATTACAGCCGTCCGGAAATCGAATGTTTGACCTCGTTATACCGTTTCAACCTACATCTATCACAGTTCCCATCTAATTCGTCTTCGTCTTCTTCTGATGCCATAGTTGAACAGTAATATCCTATTTCTTGCTATTTCAAATTAAACTCTTATCCCCGAGCTTCAGTGCTCGAGTCCATGGGGGTTCGATCATTCTCTTCTCACTCTACCCAATCACATAAATAACGATTGAAAGCGATGAAGATTGATGTACTTACAATGAAGTTAATCTCAGGTGTTTCCGATCTTCTCTTTTACCTTTGTTTTCTGATTCTGCATCATTGCCTTGCCTGAGTATGCTTCTTCTACATCTGACTTTTCTATGCACATTTACATCGTGCCGTGTTACATCAATTGTGATGCTGCAAGGTTTGTTTATGATGAAGTTTCAGGAAGATTGAAGAAATTGCAAGTGGCGTGAAAAATGTTGTTGAAGATTGATGCGAGGATGATGAAGGTTTGAACAACGATGAAGATGATGATATTGTTGCGATGAGAAGATGATGTTGAGGTGATGATAAGCAGAGAAGTACCAGATGAAAATTGAAACAAGCTCCTGCTACTTGATGAAGATGATGGCTCTGGAAGGTTGAAGAAGAAGGTGATATAGGTGATGATAGTTTCAAGAAGTTGCAGAAGAAGGTGATGTGAGGAAAATGGTGAACAGAGAGAGAAGATGGTGAGTGCCTTCTGTCCTCTTTTTTTTAGTTTGTATATTTGTATCTCTTTAGAGTTTGAGTAATTGTGAAATGGTACGTGAGGATGATGATGAAGAAAAATGGAGGGGAAAGTGAAGGTTGAAGATGAAGATGGAATGGAGAGGCAAGAGGAGCCAATTTCAAAGAATTCTTTCTGGTATTTTTTGATTATGCAGTCTGCCCTGAACTAGTGAGTTTTCTCCATCTTATACTGTAGAGCTGTTAGAAGTTAGTTAGGAATTTGTTAGAGTTAGTTAGAGAGTTAGTTAGGAATTGGTTAGAGAAGAGGTTATGGAATTGAGTTCTGTTAGAAATTGTTAGGAGATTTTGAATTGGTAGTTAGTGAAAATTCTGTTATGGTTAAAAACAGTTAGGAAGTGGTTTGAGTTAGTTGGTTTTTGTTAACAGTAAGTCGTTAGGGATTCTGTTATGACATGAGCTGGCCCTTTGTTCTCGTATAAGATGTGTTTTAGGTAGTTAGTTGGAGTTCTATTAATTTTCTATTTTTTGTTAGCAATGCTGTTTGGTTTAAATCTGTTAGTGCGGTCACTTTCCCTTTTTTTTTGAATTTGCATATATTCTTGAATTTATGTAGGCTACTGGAAATTTGTTGGAATTGGAATTTCTAGCTTCACTTTCTATTTTTTTTTTTTGCAGCAGCATCTGCTTTCTTTGTTGGAGTATTAAGATATTTCTAATTCAAACATTGAAGCGTCCCCCTGCTCAGTCCTTGTTCTGCAAGCTGTCAAGATAATCCAGGGTCTCTAATTCCTTAACCCGAACTTTACTTATGTCTAGTACTGATAGATATGTATGATAAGCAAAGGTGAATGAAAATGGATTTCCATCACTGTTTACGAAACAAACTTGGTACTTCACTTCCTGGAATGAAAATGCCAATATTAAGAAAGGCAGGTATTCCTTGTTCACTTGAATGAATTGTGTCATCCATGAAATCATCCTCTACAACATTGTTCCTTATTATTGATCATAATCTCATACTAATCCAATATTTGTTCTTTTAAAGATCCTGCTCGGTTGTAGCATTGAACAAGTATATGCTACTTTATGTGCAGGGTAACTTTTTGTTGAAATAGAGCATCAATACGCTTCATTGGGTATGTTTGTACAATTTAGATATTAATCAATTTTTGTAGACTTGAATGCAGATTTATGGTTTGACATTTGAACATGATGCAGACGGAAATTATGCAGGGCTAAAGTATTTTGGACAGTTTCTGAGAAAGTTTGCAAATTTGGTAATGAAGGATGGGTGGGTTTTGAAGATTGGATTTAGGGCAACGAAGAAATTAGAGCATGAATGATTTTTAGGATTAAATTCAAGATAGGTATTGATGTAATGAGTTATGATGTAATGGCTTCATGATTATTGTAATGGTAATGTAACAGAATCAAGTGATGTTGAATATATGAATGGTTTTTTATGATCACGCGCATTAACAAACAGCTCGTATAAACCTTGATTTTTAACGAAATTTCCCTTTTCTGAACTAATATTTCTTTCCCTTTTTCCATGCCATTCTTCAAACGCAACTTGAATTCATAGCACGTATTAGATGAAAGCTCAAAGGCGACCTTGGTCCAAAAATTAATTTTTCAAAGTTTACTTTGACGGAAGTCAAAAGATCTTATCCACGTATCTTGGACTTAGCCCATGATTATGCATCTCAAGATCTTATAAGAACCTGTAAGCCAATTAACTAGGTATGCCATGTTGGAAAAAACCCTGCTTTGAATGCCTTGAACCTTGAATCATGATGAACCGTGAATCACTTTGCATGAATTCTTCAATGAGAAGCCTACTTCGATCCAAATCTACTCGTATTGCAGACAACAAATGACAATGATAAGAACAATAATTGCCTTGATTAATATAGGAAATCCACAAATTCATATCTTAGGTCATGAATCACGCTTCACAATTCGATCCTCAGCCCTCAGCGACCTGTTATTTCAACTCGAAATTAGTGTCATGAGGAAAATCTTACAGATGGACGATAAGGTTTGAATCACAGAAGAATTTCCTTGACATGAAACCCTAGTCGCGTAAATGAAAATCCCAGCACTTGCCAAGACTGGATAAAAAACAATTATCTTGAAGAGAAAGAAATCCTGATAACCACACCTCACGAACTTGATTTCCTCAATTCAAATGCACAGAGAAATATCTAGATGAAGTATCTTTGAACCATAATTCAACCAAACCTGAATTGGTTAACTGAGGAAGGGATGAATGTCGTACCACAGTCATTAACCATGATCAAATGATAAGCACACTTATATGAAGAGACGTCTTGATTTAAAGACCATGTATGCTAGGTCACACCCTTGAGTTCTTGACAAGAAAGACCTACAACCAGTTGTTCATCAGAGGGTATTAGCTCTTTAACTTGATGGAGAAGAAGTCCAAAAATGAGCATGAACCAAAACCCTAATTCCACAGCCTTATACACCAAGAAGACCCGGAATAATCAAACTTATTCAACACATACACCTCAAATAAGCTGTAAACCCTAGCTCCATAACTGCTGATCTTTTGAACCTCAGGTGATCTATTTTTTTATGAAAATGCGTGCTATGCACATGACCTACTGAAATGATGCAGATGAACACAAAGTCCATACTAGAATAAGAGAAATTAGGAGGGCAAATTTTGGGGTGCAACACTTGGTAGTTGATTACTGAAGGTCTGATCGCAAGGTGATCCAATGGGACATAGTGATACGCTTTACATCCCTAACTTTTACCTGGACCGCCCTTTCGGGTTTTCAGTCCACCGGGATGCCCTTTTTTGGCCAAGCCGCCTTTTCAGGTTTTCGACTTGCCGGGTATACCGATTTTTTTGTTTTTATCCCTAATTTTTGCTCGAACCCTTTTGGTTCGCCGGGATGCCCTTATTTTTTCCTAGGCCAGTCGACCTAGCGGGTCTTTATTCATGCGTAGTATCTTTTCACTATGTCCGCATTAACAAGGTGAGGAAGGTCGTCACCATCCATGGTGGTCAGAATCATGGCCCCACTGGAAAATATGTTCTTGATTACGAATGGTCCCTCCTACGTGGGAGTCCATTTGCCCCTGGGATCACCTTGCCGCAGTATGATGCGCTTGATTACCAGATCACCCACTTGATATACTTGACATCTGACTTTCTTGTTGAAGGCCTTGATCATCCATTTCTGATACATTTGACCATGGAAGATAGTAGTAAGTCTTTTCTCGTCAATCATATTCAGTTGATCAAGTCGAGTCTGGATCCAATCGTCTTCGTTCAAACCCGCATCCTTCATAATCCTCAGAGAAGGGATTTGGACCTCAATAGGTAGAACAACCTCCATACCATATACAAGAGCATAAGGTGTTGCGCATGTTGACGTACGTGCCGAGGTACGGTAACTGTGAAGAGCGAATGGTAACATCTCGTGTCAGTCTTTATATGTCACTGTCATCTTCTGTATGATTTTCTTGATTTTCTTGTTAGTAGCTTCGACAGCCCCATTCATCTTTGGCCGGTAGGGTGAAGAGTTATGATGTTGTATCTTGAATTGCTTACAGAGTTTGGTGATCATCGTATTGTTGAGATTGGTACCATTGTTCGTGATAATTCTCTCGGGAACACCATAACGGCAAACCAAGTTATGCTTGATGAACCATGCCACAACATTCTTGGTAAGAGTAGTAAATGAGGCAGCCTCAACCCACTTCGTGAAGTAATCAATAGCCACTAGGATGAAGCGATGCCCGTTAGAAGCAATAGATCTAATCTCTCTGATAATGTTAATTCCCCACATTGCAAAGGGCCAGGGAGCCGTCAAGATGTTCAAAGGAACCGGAGGTACATGTACTTTATCAGCATAGATCTGGCATTTGTGACAAGTTCGGGAATGCTGATACCAATCTGCTTCCATAGTGGACCAATAGTATCCTACCCGTAGGATCTTCTTAGCCATGGTATGTCCACTGGAATGAGTGCCAAAGGTACCATCATGTAGATCTACCATAATCCTCTTAGCTTCTCTCTTGTCTACACATTGCAGTAAGGTAGAGTCATGGTTGCGCTTGTAGAGGATTCCATTACTGAGGAAGAAATTTGCGGAGAACCTTCTCAGAAATTTTTTATCATTGATAGATGCCCCCTCAGGGTATTCTTGAGCCTCGAGATACCTTTTTACTTCGTGAAACCAAGGTTTGTCTGCTACCTCTTCAGTATCAATCTCACAGCAGCGCGCTGGTTCATCCAACCTCTCAATAGTGATTCGGGGAGCTTCGTTGTCCCATCTGACCTTGAACATAGATGACATAGTAGCTAGCGCATCTGCTAACTGATTCTCTTCTCGTGGGAAATGTTCAAAGGTGACCTCTTCAAAATGTGGAAGCAGCATCAGCACAAGTTCTCTGTAAGGAATAAGATTCGGATGTTTCATATCCCACTCGCCTTTGATCTGACTTATTACCAAGGGTGAATCCCCGAATATGCTCAAGAACTTGATCCTCAGGTCAATAGCAGCTTTAAGACCCATGATGCATGCTTCATACCCCGCCATGTTGTTGGTACAATTAAAACATAATCTGGCGGTGAAAGGAGTATGACAACCCATGGGAGATATGATTACAGCACCGATGCCATTACCGAGTGCATTTAAGGCTCCATCAAAAACCATAGTCCATCGGGATCCTTCCTCAGTTCCTTCATCCGGTCCAGGTTTTTCACAGTCAGTTACTAACATGATATTCTAATCTGGGAACTCAAAATTCATGGACTAGTAGTCATCCACGGCCTGATGTGCCAAATGGTCAGCTAACACACTTCCCTTGATTTCTTTTTGGGTTATGTATTGGATATCATACTCGGTCAAGATCATTTTCCATCTTGCTATTCTTCTGGAGAGAGCGGGCTTCTCGAAGATGTACTTGATTGGATCCATCTTAGATATCAACAAAGTAGTGTGGGTCAACATATACTGTCTCAGTCGGCGAGTAGCCCATGCCAAAGCGCAGCAAGTTTTCTCGAGCAGTGAGTATCGTGTTTCACAGTCGGTAAACTTTTTGATAAGGTAGTATATTGCATTCTCTTTTTGACCAGACTCGTCATGCTGCCCCAGCACACACCCCATTGAATTATCTAGCACTGTTAAGTACATTATCAATTCTCTTCCTTCAGTCGGAGGCATCAGAATGGGAGGCTCTTGGAGGTATTGCTTGATTCTGACAAAGGAGACATGGCATTCGTCATTCCACTTTACCACTTGATCTTTCTTCAGAAGCTTGAAGATTGGCTCACAAGTAGCAGTCAAATGTGAAATGAACCTGGCGATGTAATATAGGCGTCCCAAGAAACCTCTAACTTCCTTCTCGGTACGGGGAGCCAACATCTCTTGTATGGCCTTCACCTTTGAAGGGTCTACCTGAATACCTTTGTCGCTAACAATTAATCCCAGAAGCTTACCAGACCTTACCCCGAAGGTGCACTTGTTCGGATTTAACCTCAGCTTGTATGTCTTCAACCTTTCAAACAACTTTTGTAGATGATCAAGGTGTTCTTCCTCGGTTTGAGGCCTAGCTATCATGTCATCAACATAAACCTCTATCTCATGGTGAATCATATCATGGAACAAAGCTACCATGGCTCGCTGATAAGTTGCCCCAACACTCTTCAACTCAAAAGCCATCACCTTGTAACAAAAAGTGCCCCACTGTAACGAAGGTTGTCTTCTCCATGTCTTCGAGTGCCATCTTGATCTGATTGTAACCAGAGAAACCGTCCATGAAGGAAAAGACTTTGTGTTGTGCGGTATTTTCAACTAGAACATTGATGTGGGGAAGCGGGAAGTTATCCTTGGGGCTTGCCCTATTCAAGTCTCTGTAGTCCATACACATCCATACTTTACCGTCTTTCTTAGGCACCGGAACCATATTAGCAACCCGATGCGGATAGGAGGTGACAACTAAGAACCCAATGTTGAACTATTTCATAACCTCTGCTTTGATCTTCTCTGACATTTCAGGATGCATACGGCAGACCTTTTGCTTTACCAGATGGAAATCTTCCCTAGTCGGCAGACGATGAACCACTATATCCGTGTCTAGTCCCAGCATGTCTTCATATGACCAGGCGAAGATTTCGACATGATCATGCAACATCTGTACCAACCGCTGTTTGACACTAAGTTCCAGATTAGCACCTATTTTGACCTCTTTTTTGTCTTCCTTTGTACCCAAGTTCACTGTCTCAACCGGCTCTTCATGAGGTTGTATGGCCCTTTCTTCCTGCTGTAATAGTCTAGCAAGCTCTCCAGGTACCTCACAA